CAGGATTATACAAACATCCTTGCATAAAATGATACATCTTTGCCTAAAACATAACCATGAAATAAGGTACATACAGCACTGTGCTGAAAGCCACAACAAAGCAGAACCTGACTGTTAGCTCACATTAAGCGAGACTCTGGCTGATATTTGCAGGGAAGGTATGCTGATCTTTCTAGTAGTGTCAGTAGAATCACGTTACTGCTCGAGTCAGCGTTTTCTAAAAGCTATTTGGCAGCTCACCATTCATCCCCTACAGTTAGATTCAACACTGTTTACAGCATCTAATAAACAGGGTTAGCGTCTTATACAAATTTAAGAGGCACTTCGTTGTTATTCTTAATGTAGTTAACTTTGTCATAAATTGCTGTATCTATTTAAAAATGTTTTTCTTCTTTTTCTTTTGATCAAGAATCTTAATGCTTTATTTGTGACATCTGAGTTTATAGCAACAATAAATGCTTTGTCCTGCTTGATGTGAAGAGCTCAGTGGTTTAATTAAAGGGGATTAATTGAATTAACTGAATGAATTAATTCAGTTAAACCAAACACACAGAAATACAAGGTTAAGAAGAGTTGCATTACGCTACTCATTATTACACGAGTGCTCACAATCCACTTCAGCGCAGAGTTGGCTGGGTTAGACTGAAACACTGGTAACCTTGCTGACTTTACAATGAAATAGGGTTTAGCAACATTAATAAACAGCAGAATAATAATAGCAGAAATAAGAGCAGCTGGAGCACTAACAAAATTAATTATGGCATCACAGCTGAGATTGATAATGAAAACCCCTGGACAGTAACTCCTCAAACTAGTACAGCTGTTTCCAAATCGCCATCTGTCTGGGCCCCAAGGCTATTTTATGTATGGATACTCTTAAATTAACTTAGCAGGGCTCAGTTAAGGAATTACAGAAACAATGTGATAATATTGAAAGCTAATGTGATATAAGCAATAGCAACTTGAACTGGTTTAAGCAAAAAATTGAAAAGGGGCATTTTGCAACTTTCTTTGAAGTGGTGAAACAGCTGTTCGTCCAAGAGTCGAAAAATAATTGATTTGATGACAGGAAAGCTCTATGAGAGTGATTAAAAGGAAATTTGTTTTTCCTTTTGAAACAATTGGCAAAAAAGCAAAGGAAATCTTATTACTACATTACTCTCCAAAACAACATAAATACAGCTTATGGAAAGATTAAATTTCTTCAGAGACTGGAGTTTTTTTAATCAATTCATCTGCCAAATGACACAGTCCACTCCACCCTTAGTCCCTACTTCTCTTAGTTGGAACATTTTGAAAATCATTTCAGCTTGTCCTCTGAAAATACACTTGTAATTATCACCTTTAAGATTTTACATGCATGAAGACTGCAAACTACGATCATATAATCATTGAATATCATGTTCATCCTTTTCCACAACATTATCTTGTAAACATATAGGTTTATTTCTTAGAAATAAGTGGAGATGTATACATTTGTAACTCTTACTGGTATCGTGGACAATGGAACATATGAAAAAACATGCTTTGATGAGATGATGTAAATGGTAACAAATTGAAAACAGAGAGTCCGAAACACAAACATTAAACTGCAATCATTTAAAATGAATTAGCAAGTTTGCTGGGTCAAATTCTACCATCACCTTCAGGAATACAATTTTTCAACAATTAACACTGATATGTTTCACAAAGAGAAGAATTTGTCTTTTATTTTTTAAATTTATAATGGGATTATTTTTGTCTTAGCAAATTTGAATCTACTGGCTTTGGATCTTCAAAACCAGATCTATTTTTGACTGCTTAAAGAAAAAAAAAGCCTACTTTTTTTTTCCAAGTAAAGTCTTAATAAGCTATAGTAAATAGGCTATGAAATCCCACAAAGACTTGGAAAAAACCCTTGGGTGCTCAGCCAAAGTTTTCTTTACATTTCAGTCAAGTCTGCTGGAAGACAACTTATGTCTTATGGATTTTATTTCTCATCATTTTTGTACACTGTTACTAGTTACTATTTTGTTTGATCTTCTAGCTCTAAGCTGCTAAAGCCAAGAATTCTACTTCACTTACTGCATACAACACCCTATATATATACACACATATTAATGCAGTTTTCCCCTGTTGTGATGTATGATTTTGCTCCTCAGAATGAATTATTCTCAGCTATAAAATATCCCTTAGGGGATTGCATGGGTTGGTAAATAAAACCTGACCTTTTGTGAATTAAAACTACAGTACAAATAGGAATAATGTTTGCAAAATCTATGCAGTCCTTGCAACAAACTGCTATCATGGAAAACAATTGTGACAGTCTTCTGGTTTCAGTATTTGTACTAAAACATCTATTGCACTGCAGAAAATTCTTGTTTTGAGTATCTCTTAATGAAGCAAAGCAGTGATCAAAAGGTCCTGAAGACAGCACAGTGCAGACAACAGAAAAGTGTGTCAACTCATAACATCTTGCAGTATATAATACTGTAATAGCAACACAACTGAGGAGGCCATGATACCTAAAGGAAGGTTTTGAAAAAAAAGTCTTTCAAAAAATTACTCTTTTATGACAGCTTTGATATCAGCTCATACTTAACTGTCCTTATAATTTAAAAAATTCTACCCTGAGACTTCCACAGACTGAATTCACACTTATGCCTTCACAGCTGAAATGCAACCTGCAGGAACCACTTTCATTGTGGTCCTGCTGGTGGTGTAGACGTGTAGAAACGCTTTTGAGGTTGTCATTCACTACTGTCTTTGTTAATTATAAGCCTGCCTCTCAATGTATCTAAATATCTACTCACAGAAATCTGTTGCTATTTGTATTGGTCTCAATACCGGTATCAATGCAGACTCCCTCTTATGACAAGAACTCTTAACATTGGGAAGGAACATTGGAAGAGCAGCAAGCATTTTGAAACGTACGCAAAACACCAACTTATTCTGCAACTGGAATTGGAAAAGTAGATTTCTCTACCAGATATTTCCTAACGAACTCAGTGTGTAATACATATTATAAATCTTGCAATATTGCAATGGAAGTAGATGTTGCTGGACACATTTTATTAAATAGCATGATGCAGACCCTGTAGGAGCTTCCATCCAGCTCATACATTTTCCCTGGAAGTCATGAAGAATGGCTGTTTGGGCAGGAAAAGTACCTCCAACAGGAAAATGCTTTTTCCTTGCACTTGCAAACATGCAAACCACAGAACTCTCCAGAGGCAGCTGCTGCAGTCACCATCTCTCCTCACAGGGAAAGCAGCAAAACTGGAGACAGACCTCCCTCTGTGCAAGAGCTTTGTCTAGTGTAGGTAAGCCAGGAGGAGTGGCTGAGGTTGACCAGGCCCTGGGGAACATGGTGGACGCAGCCCTTGAATGTGATTCTGTTCCCTGCAAACATTAAATCACCCTGTGGCACCAGCTTGTGCATGTGACAGGGAGGTGAGCACTGCAGAAGATCAAAGGAGGAGGCACACAGAGGCAGCTCTTTAACAGTGTACCCCGTTTGAGAGGTTGAGAGTTGCCACTGATTCACTTCATGTTATGTAACAAAATGTAGATTACTTCAGAAATCCAGAGCAACAATTTAAAATGTTTGATCCCAGTACTGCCTGGAGTTTGCTGCACAGCTGCTGTGTGAGAGCGGGTTTAAATATTGTTCCTTCTCCAGTGCAGTCCCATGAAAACCAGGCCCAGAATAAGGTCATCAACAGATGTGCTTTTCTGTACCAAGCTGACGAGGTATAAGCCATGACTTGCTCCTGGCTTTTAACTCCTGCCACTCACCTGTAGATTGGTACTTCCTCAGCCATGAACAGTAACCAGGTATGAGAATGCCACCTCATATTCTGCCTAATGTAACCATGCTGTGGGCTGCTGAAAGCCATTATTCCTCTCTCTCCCAGTCCACTTTCTCCTTTGTGGAGCAGCACACAGCAATCATGTGGCAATAACATTGTGGAAAACTAACCTGCCCCATCCCAAACGCTGCACTGCTCCAAACCAATGGTACAGTTACACAATCACCAAAATCAACGCAAGAGCTACAGAGCTGGACCAACCCTTTTGGCAGCTCCCAGTTTGATCCAATTGCCTGTGTGAAACTGCACCCTGAATACTTTACGTAGTTCAGGGCAAAGATTGTCCATCTGAGAACATATCTGTGACAGTGTCATCAGTCTGAAGGACCACACAGTGGCGACTGGTACAACAGGATTTTCCCTCTCCAACACATAAACACCACAGCTGAACAACCTCTTCTCACAACCATCTGTTGGTGAGTGGTTCACATCCCTGCATGTATCACAGTTAACTCCAGCCCATGAAGACTGACAAAATGGCAACTGGTTGAGGAGCTCATGAATCCTCCTGCGTGAGCAAAGAGGCTGGGTGAATAACCATAATCACTCCACTGTGCCTGAGTAAATGAATGATAACTTTGGCTCTGTCAGTAAAGCCTTATCCACAAGCAGGGCAAAAAGGAAACATATTACAGTGTCAGTTCTTAAAGCAATCTGGCCTCATTTCCCTTGGCAATTATATTGGGTTGTTTGGGTTTGTTTTCTTTTTTTAGAACTGTACAGGCCAACTTCTGCTATAAATAACTACAGGAAAATGCCAGTAGAACATTTACCAGATAGAAATCCCACAGTTCAGAACAAACGTACAACAAACCGTCTGGTAAAAATCAGTATTTACAGGTTGTGCAGCTGGTAGAGGTCTGATCCTGCCTAAGGAATACTGTGCCAGCACATTATCACAGTCCTGTGAAATTACTGAGTTTTGGCCCTGTACTGTATTCTTAATTACCACTTTCAGCTATATAGGCTAAGAGTAAGTAGTAATTGTAAAGAAACAGCCAGGCCTTTTCAACAGACATTGCCTTCTCTTCTCACTTGTGATTCGTGTCTTTCTGTGTGTCCTACTTCTTAATACAAGTTGAAATGTAAAAATTAAACACTTGCTGTAAAAAAGAAAAATCGCTATAATATACAATTTAATTCACCTACCTTTGGCTTCTTGATTACTCCAGAATTCTCTCACGCTCTGAAAAATGTTTTTGTCCTCTCTCAACTTCTTTTGCCACTGACGTAGCTCTTGTATTTCACTATCGCAGCGGACCTGGGAAAGGGAAAACAGAAAATGCAACTAAAATTATATATGTCCGTGTTACCCAAGAAGACAAGACAATTTTTTTTTTCGCAGGCCTGTGGCTGGGCAAACACATGACAACCATCCTTTTTGCGGGGCCTGATATAAAAGCATAATCCCAGAGGTTTCCAGTTTTCAACTTCTACAGAAATAAAACCCACATAATTGACAAACCCTATTGAAAACATAAATATGCCAATTAGGGGATCATTTTGATTACCAAGCACTCCTGAGGATGTGATTGCAGTGAGATGCTTATTCTTTGACTTAATTAAAATTTAAAGCATTATGCTGAAGGGTATTAGTGCCTTTAGAAAACCACAACACTATAAAACCAACCCATTGACCAACATAATAGAGCAGAAGAGGAGCATGAAGGGTCATACAGCAGGAAATTTATTCCAGCAAAGTGATTCACACCTGCTACCAGCTGCAAATAGGCTTACTGACACTCCCAGCCATACAATTTTCACAAACAGGAGAGCCATTAATCTGTTATTTAAAGTAATTCGAATGCATTACTTGATATTTATTCTTTGTCAGTCAATCACCCCATGAAAGGCGTAATTCTGCTTCCACATAAAATGACAATAGTCACAGGCCTTGACTCCATTTAAGATTTAAGTTGAATTCTTCTGTTAGTGCTTTTGTACTGGTGTAGATCCTACCAATAAAAGAAAGAGCCAGATTTGCATCAACAGCTTTTACCACTCTGCTACTTAAACTTGTTCTAAGCAGGATTTGATTAATTAACAGTGTGTTGCCAGTTGCCTACCTCGGCATTCACAGAACTACTACCTCCAGTACAAAAGCAAAAATCCAGAATAGCCACCATTCTGACACTAGTGGGAAAGGGACACACTGCTATTAGCTTAGACATTGGTAAGTGATTATTCTCTTAGAGTCGTATTCAAATTATAATAGAATTATTAAAAATACAGTTTCTGTTTTTTCTAAATATTACATATATAAAATGTCATTATGTTTTAGGACTTAATGTCCAAGTAATTCAGGCTGAAGTTGAAGAATATGGTAGAAACAAGCAGCAATAAGCTGGGTTTCCCCAGCACATTTTTTCCTTTCATGAAGCTGGCTACTTGGTTTTCTAGAAAATTTCTTTTATTAATTTTTTTTCTTACATGATATGGTAACGAGTTTGCTCTGTGATTTGAGCTCTATTACTCTACTCCATTACACTTTGGTTTTCTCTCACTTTCCTGAGATACATACAGAGCAAAAGAGCATGACTTAGTTTTCCACTAGTTAAAAACAACAACAACAAACCCTAAACAACATAAAGAAAACAACATAAATAATTTATCAAAAGTATTCTTTCCACCCAGAATTTCTCCTTTGTGGTTCAGCTAAGAATGCAATAGACAGCAGCTGAACTCCCACAGCACTTCTCAATCTACTTAAGAGAAGATAACTTGCTATATTTCAGATACTGGCACTGGCAGAGCAGAAATACAAGGTAACATGATCAATAAAGACAGGCAAGACTTTTACTCAGTCACTTGATATCAGATACCTCTCAGGCCTCTAATAATATCTCTTTATACTGATATAGTTTTGTATTATCTTCTATAAAAGTTATATGAAGTTCTTAAAAGGTTGATAGGGAGTTTTAAAAATAAAAAGAAATAAGTGACTGTTACAAGTGATCTTCTTTTCAGCTATAGAAAAAAAAAATCAAAACCACTTTCTGTTAAAGCCATCAAATACTATTTCCAAAAATATAGTGTAATCCTAAACATGGGATAGTTACTTTAGGCTTGAAAGAGACATTTTTTTCTTTTACACTGTCATGTGTGTTTTTATAGAATCCATAATACTCTATCACACGAAGTCAGCTTATCTGCTCAGAAAAGGGTTAAGGGAATGCTTATGGGAAATATAAATGACTGCAGCAGAAAAGAGGCAGGAAGATAGAAAAATTACGACCTCTATTTCTACCTATAATTTTTTTTTTTAAAAAATGAAGTGCCCATTTATAACTGCAGCAATGTAAGACCTGTATTTTTGGCCCATAACAGGGAAACAGTGGTGTCTGTACACTGAAAATGAAGAAAGTAACACTTAACAGTTAAAAGATAGAAGGTAAGTACAGTAGATTCTGTATAGTCTCCCTAGTTAATTAAAACAGTGAAAGTATAGTGAAATACAAAGCAAAATTCAGGGCTCTGAGATAAAGGCATAGTCAGATAGACTCAAATACTCCAAAGTCCAACGTTAAACCCAAGCAGTGAAGATGAGCTCCCAGAACAAAGTGATTTTTTAGGAAAGTGAAAGAAAAGAAAAAAGGAACACAGATACATCACCTGCAGTAAAACAGGTAACAGGAACTTAAGAAAATACTAACAACATATTCCAAATATGCTTAATAGATTATAATTTAGCATAGTTGTCATAATCTCTCACAGACTAGTCTGCATTGTGTAATCAGAGTGCAGTTCTACCATGATTAAAAAGCCATGACTCATCAGCAAAACCTCCAGGCGAATAATCAAAGGGTCAAAGTCTTGTCCAAGTAACCGATGTGTGTCTCCTGCAGACTAGCAACGCATGAAGCACCAAAGGAATCTTAACTTTGAAGTGAGAGTTCCCTCGTACTCAAGTCACTTGGATTGTATCTACATTTGCTGCAAAGAACAGTGAATATTTGTGTGACCTTCTGGGTCTGAGCCCTTGCTAGTAGCCACAACTTGCTGAAAAGGAATACAAATTGTGATAGCAAAAGCAGAACAATACTTTGTAAGAGATAAAGATAAACCTGCTGCAATTCTGATTTATCTTTTGCTCAAACAATATTTATGTATAAAATAGCACTGAATATTTACGTAAGGCTGTTCAATTTAAACTCCATGATATGACAAGTTTTAGTCAACATAAACTGCTTCCAGTGCTAGGTGAGAACATGTCGCACAACAGCAGAAGGATAGCAGTAAAGCTCTGACCAGAGATATTAGAGGAAATTGTATTAATGAAAAATCCCTTTAGACTAGAATAGTTATGCAAATTGCAAAGATTAAAAAGACCCCAGAGAACAAATGGCACTAAGCACTGATTCTGCAGTAGAGGGGTGAAGAATTATGTCTTCTATTGGAAAAATGCCTGGAAAATTGACACCTACCAATCAAGGGGTTTCATCAGATACTGAATACTACCTTGGTCCATGACAGATGAATGAAACCTCAATAACTGTCTTCTTCTATTGGAAAAATGCCTGGAAAAAATTGATACCTACCAATCATGGGGTTTCATCAGATACTGAATACTGCCTCGGTCCATGACAGATGAATGAAACCTCAATAAAAGAGAACCGTGAGAAGTGAAGAGAAAGAATTCTGATGACAGAGCTGTCTCAAGCCTTATTTGGGTACTCCTTGCCCTCTGAGAGACACCTCAAGCTGACATCTTCCCTAGTGATCTCCTTGGAGTACTCAGCAATTGTAGCTGTTTTCTCTGGAATTTAATTCTTGATTAAACTTGAAATAATTTTCAGAGTGCTCATCAGTGTCTTTGTATGAAAGATTGTAGCAAAGACTTTGTTGATGGCAGCCATTAATTATTACTACCAAAAGTAGTATTTTCCTGAAATTTGCTTCAGGTAAGGATGTACTGCTTTGATCATGCTTTATTATCAGAAATTTCTCAATATTCTGTACCTACAGCTCTTTTTTTCCCTTTGCATAGAAAAATATTTACTGTCTGATCTATTTTTGCTGATTGCCATGCATTTTTTCTACTGGCACACTCAGAGAGCTAGATGTGGCAGAAACAAGTGAAGTATCATGAGAAGACACGATGTTCAGTCAGTTTCATAACTAAATAAACTCTACTGCCTAGACCAATATGGTTAACAAAATATCAAAAATGGTCTGAGGCCATAGAAGATGTCTGTGAGAAAAATAATTTGCTACGGTTTCTTACACTTTATATGACATTGTTTGAGAATAAAAAACTTACTGGACAGTGTTGTTAAAGACAAAACTATCCTGCCTACATTTCTGAGCCTTTTACTTTTTCTGAAATCCAACAAGCGTGTCCAGAATCCTTCTCCATCCGTCTTTCAAACAAGTATTTGTGGCATGTGATTTTATGTCCTTTAAAGCGTATCTTGAGAAGACCAATGATACCAACAGTACACTGTTCCTTTTTGACAGTGCCATGTAAAATACGTCTGCGTGTTTGTGTTTAATTATTCAATGTTATCACAACGTGTAAATTTTTATTTCAATAATAGTGTTTAAATTTTTCCAAATTCTGTGAATTATAAAACAAGGTTTAATGAAAACATCAGAAAAGAGTTTAAAATACTGACACAAAAATGTCCTCAAAATGCAAAAGAGCATTATTTGTAAGTGGTCAGTTATTACCACAATAAATCAGCATTAGCTAACAGAACAATTTATTTTAAAAGCAAATCATCTGAATTCTTGGTAAATTTTTATAATATACTTTATTATTAATTTGATGAAATCCCATTTAAGCTTAATGTTGTCTTAATATACAAGCCCAAGGATAACACATTGCTCTGTGTAGTAACTTGTAACTAATAATTTTTTTAAATATCTGATTTAAATTTGAATTTTAATATTTAAATTGAATTTTAATCTTTAAAAACCCAAGTTCTTTCAACTCTAATAAGCTAAACCATGTAACAGCTAATTTTATAGCCTGAATTATTTTTCATGAATCCTACTTTTTATAGCTACAGTTTTTCTCTCCTTTCTGGGAACTCTTTTAGAATGATCAATACTACCGGGAAAATTTTAAAGTTAATATGTATAGCAAGGAAGGATAGAAGCTTTGGTAGAAGCACAAGGTATCTGAGCGATCTTGCACGTTACTCAATAAGGGTTGCCTTTGCAATACTCCACTGTAAGAACGCCTGCAGTGATATTGTCAACACTAATTAATGTTAGTGTCCATGCCATCTCTGTTTAAAAAAAGAAAAATAAAGGAAAACAAACAAGCAGAAAGCATAAAAAAAATATATCTATCAGTCAAGAAGATAATTTCAAGGTATTTCTTTGGCTGCACAGCACATTTATAGTAGCCACTCATATATTCATGTTTGTTAAAAGTAGTAAAGATGTGTTTTATACTGATTGCTATTTAAACATTAGCTGATGTACAGACAGAGATGTTTCACTGTCCATCACAATGAAATTACTGCTATAGCTGGAGGCTATTTACAAGCTTAAATTTTGATAAAGGCAGTCAAAGACATTTCTTTGTCACCAGTCACCTGAATTTCAAGTCCATTTTTTTCCAAGGCCTGAAGGTGTTAGAGCCTTTCAAAGAAATATTTGACAGAATCTGTTCAGGATTTTCGAAATAATTTATTTGATACTGTAGGCTTAGCATGGCTGTTATGCTTCAAAATAACAGCACTAGCCAACTTTTCCCCCTTATATTGGGAATTGAGTTAGTGTTGTATTACTGTTATGGCTTGCAACATCTGCTTGCCATTTTGTTTTCCCTTTCATTGAAAAACAGCCTTCTTGCCTCTCCTACATCTCCTGTCTCAACCTTGGTCTCAATTTTTCCTTTGTTTCTGTATGCTTTTATTTCTTAACAGACCTCACTGGTCCTCCTTGTGCATCTCTGCACTCACATAACCCTGCATGAAGCAAAATAATGCTTCAACCTTTAGCAACTAGCCAAAGATTAACTAAAAAAAAATTAAATTGTTCTGTGTTAATTGTACTTTTGAAAATCAAATTTCTGCAGATTTTCTGTTGTTGAGTAAAACAGTGAGATTATATCAGTGTAAATGCCTGTGAAATAATTGTAGTCACTAGGCATAAGGCAGAGCAACATCCAAAGCCAATGAACCATGGGGGTCTCAGCAGCTATTTATAGTATCTCCTACTTAAAATTTATGTAAGGATTTTCCCTGGGGCCTTCACAGTCCTACAGTTTTCAACATCAAGCAAAATAATTATAGATTACTCTTACCCGATAACCTCTCCAGAAGGACTGAATTATTATGCTTGCTTCTTCTTCTGATAGAAGGAGAGAGAGAGGAATAGGTGGCCTAGGACTTAAAAAAAAAATATGTTTTGTAAACAGCCTATAAAAGTAAAATATTTTCTTCCCTAACATACTGTATATTTTTTATAAAAAAGAGAAATGTTGCTCAGGAGCTTGAAAGATACAATTACTTATTGCTCCAAAGATAAATTGTGCAAAGAATATCTCCTCTAAAAATACATTCTGTGCTATTTATACTACAATTATTTAATCTTTAAAACAATAATATACAAATAGCACATCAAGCACTGTAATCTTTGTTGTTTTTCTACATGGATTTCAAATTCCTACTATTATGGTAAGGTTTGAGGTGGCAGTGAGAGAGGACAATAGGTGTGCCATTTGTAAAACAGAGGAGGTTTCAGTGTGCATGCAACAATGAACAAACTTACAACATAAATGTTACATTTATAACAATTATTAAATACACCAAATGAAAAAATATTTTAGTACATTAATTTACATTATGATTTCACTTAAAATTAAGATGTACTGAAAAAATTAATGATTATCATATCTACATAAGCATGGATCCATGTTTAGAAATGTTTAAACAAGTTCTTAAAACTCTGAAATTTTACTTTTAATAGCATATACACATTGTTTGGTGATAAACAAAAGTAATACATATGTGAAGCCAACAATTTTCAGCCAAAATACCCAGAAATTTGAAAGCATGTTTGGTGATTCTGTTGCTAGCAATTTTAATGGGAAACACGCAAAACTATAGTTACAATTCAGCCATCACTCAAAAAGAACCTCAAAACACTATATCTAATCTTGCTTCCCAAAAGCCATTTTCCGTAGATGTTGATTTATTTCTCATGCACAATGATCAGACAGGATCCAATAGAAAGGACAAGATAAAATTAATTTATATAGTTTCTTTTATAGTAAATGTAATTCAAAGCTAACAAGCTACAGGGCAGTGACGTTGCAACTCATGAAAATACCAGTTACAAAGAGCAGACTTGGCACAGCTTTGGAATGGCTGCTAAGAGCAGTGGCACAAGTCCACGTGGCACACAGACTCAACACAGCTTTGACATGGAAGACCAAAACATTATGAATTTGGATGCAGCAATCATCAACAGACACATGCAACCCATGCATGAATATTGTTTAGAGTATTTATACTATAAAGACACATATACTGCAAAGACTATCAATTAACCAGCTATTTATGCAGTCTTACATTTTCTGGCTAAAACATTACTTCTACAATTTCTTTTGCAAATTTACTTTACAGTATATTACAGCTCAAGCTAGGAGGCTTGACAGCTTACATTTTCCTTTCACTTAATTTCATTCATATTAGTCTCTGCCCTAGTGAGCTTCCTATGCTCTCTGATGTCTTTCTCTTAGGGCTTGTCTGAAGGAGCATTTCAACTTAGAGCACAGTCTCAACTATTATCTAATGCTAGACTGACTGCACCGTTTGAGTCTGTGGACTCAGCTAAATCGGTCTCATCATCGTGTCAGCTGGGTTCTGGCCTACATTTATTTTGATGTGAAAGAAAACCTTGGTCTGTTTGGAAGAGTAGAAATAAGACAGAAATAAGAAGTCATCTCTGCATTAAGCTAAACAGTTTTAGCTCTGTGAACATTAATTAGTATTTGTACTGCTCAAGGGAAAATGTAAGTGCTGGACAAGCAAGGCTTCCTGAGCTAACTGCTTCTTATAATCAGATTTAAAGATATGAGGTTGGACTGTGCTGGTTTGGTTGATAGGCTTTCATCCGCTGTTCTATTTTTGATCTTTTTGAAAACCAAAACTTCGAGTGGGAAAATCACAGAAAGACCTACATATTTTACAGCACTCATATCAAAGACATTGAACTTTCTCTAAGAATGAGTACATCTCTAAAGAACAAACTGAGATTTCTCCTTGACCTGCAAGGCTGGCTCTAGCATTAATTTGCTTTCATTTTCAAATTATAAAAATGTCTAGTTTGCAATCCAACACTCAATTTGAGAAACCAATATAAAATGAAGCAAGAAACAGGATTTAATTTTCAGTATAACAGTCACTGGCAAGTATCAATCATTATAGCAGGGCAGCTATAAAGGAGAGAAGTCATGCCAGGTCCAGTTTTGTCTAAGAGAATATACGCAATTGGCTTCGGGTCAAATAAAAATAGCATCTGAGCAGAGGCAATCACCCCTCAGCAGTGAACTAGGAAAAGAGGGAATATGTCATTTGTGGCAGAAGACAGCTGTGTGCCTCCAAGAAGATTAAAACTGACAGCAAAAAGCACACTAACTATCTTCTGGTTATTTAGTCTTCAATCATGCACAATCTTAAAAGCCCACACATTAAGCATATTGATATCTATTTTGATACATAGATCAGATATATTAACATAATTTGAACTTGTAAAAGAGCATCAGTAAAATTATTTTTCTTAAGTATTGGATTTTACCAAATCTGAATAAAACAGACACTGATCAGAGGAAAGTTAAATTCCAGATACACGTTTCTCGCATTCGGAGCTTATACAGATCCTGACCATGTGAGGTACTTACTAATTGTATTACATTATGCAGGTGGAATTTGGCACTCAGAAGATTTAAAGTAGACTTGTGTTAAATAAACGTATGAAGTATTGAAAAAGGTTCTTAGTGAAGATGCGTATCTCATTTCCTCATGAAAACTCGGAAGTATTATCAAAGCAGTCATAGTTATAATATGCATACAACTGTTAACACACAAACTATTTATATACTTATTTACCTATTTATAATGAAGAAAAGACATGGTAAAAATAAAGATAGTGTGGAACTAACGTGAAAGAGTTGGTAAGTGGGGAGGCAGAGTCATATAACAGGCAGGAGAATGAGGCTGAACAGGGAAATGGTGACAAGAATGCGAGAGGAATTAGAAGAAGCACAGCAAAAAGTATAAGTAGTGAGAATAAGCCAAAACAATAAAATACCAACTATCTTTTGTCTTCAGTTCTGCCTGAAAACTCTAGTAACTACCTTCTCCACTAATATGCTCTCGACCTGGGCAGGACCTAACTATTTGAATGATAAAACTCAGTTCTCCTTCTGTGCCTGCAAACTTGCTCCATATTTTGCAAGTCACAATGTGTTGCCTCAGTCTTCTCTTTTGTAGGATCAATATTTATGTCTGTCAGAGTGTTTGTGGTCCTGGACTGAAGGAAACCAAACACAGACTTATTCCAAAGTCCACTCATGGGGAAATTTCCATCTATGTTTGTGTACTTTAGATCAGTCCCATATCCTGTAAACATGCAAAACTAACAGCAGGAAAAATAATCTCCAATTAGGGCTCTAACAGCAACATTAGGAAGATGTCACACACCATTAATACGTTTTCAATTTTCTCATTGCCATTTTGACAATCTGTACAACACTTGCATATGGATTTGTAGCCATAAAACCTCAACCTCATAAAACACCATTACATAATATAAGTATTTATACAGGAACTTAGTGCAATTTTCCAACAAAAAGTTGTAGTTTTTTAAGCCAAACTTTTCTCCTTCATTAACTTAAATTCTGCCACATAACTGAAATGGCAATTCTTTACTTGGATCCACATAGAAGAACATCCATGCAAACATATTTGTTGGACTTTTCTGTTATTATAATTAAATGTACTGCTCATCATAACCTCAAAAAGAATTTAAGCACAAATTACCAAAGAAAATGAAAGAAAAAAAAGTAATAGAAATCAAATATACACTAAACATGGCTGGTTTAGAGACAAACCAGTGAAATATAGCAGTGTGCAGAAAGCAAAGCCTGTAGAACTGGGCACATTACAAAAAGAAAGAAATCAGCCACCCATGCAAAATTACCCCTGCTGGCCATCTGAGAACTGACAATGAAGTCAACTGTAAAGGCAGCTGAGACCAGCAGGCTTCACCTAATTAAAATATTGGGGAGGAAGGAGAAAAAAATAAAATCAATGTATATATATGCATATACAGATATTTGGCAAAAAGCCACTACTTCAGATTTAGTAATCATTTATTTATATATATATATTAGTTATCTACTTCATTAAAGCCACAATAATTTTATTTTCTCTGTATCTACACATTTGTTTTGAAACACACAGCTAGATTAAACCAGGAAATGTGTCCTTTTGAACTGAGGATCAAGTAAGTACCTCTATATAGAAAATAAGAAAATGCAGATAAAAAAATTATTGTGAATGAATGTTTATTTACACAATACACCTTCAGTTCCTGTTATCCCTGTAAAATATGCCGACAAAGACTGATCTTCAACAGCCAGGGAAACACGTATGCTTATTCCTAATCTAGATCCGTAAACCACGCTCTTTCACCAAATGTAAAGACTGAAGGTGAACTTGAGCAATACTGTCATATTATTAAATTCACATAACATAGACTTTTATGACATCTGTTTTTTTCATAGCAGTGGAACTTTTATTTTATTTTTTTCTTCATATTTCTTTCATTAATATGCTAAATAAGGTTGGGTAATGATACTCCCATGACACTCAGAATGAAGACTCGGCCTAAATATGCCAGAAATGTAAAATTTAAGAGGGATCAGGACATAAAAACAGATCACTCTCTTCCCGTCCCTGACCCAGAACACAGAGCTTGGTTACTTGCAATGGAGCTTCACTGCTATTCAACCAGAAACACCACTGGAAAACGATGACAAAAGGCAACTGTGTTGCTCATTAGCATATTTATAGGAGTACAAAACGTTCAAGGCTCTAGTTCTATTTACTTTACTTGGCTATATCAGCAGTCTGGAATGTAGGAATAGGGACATCAGTACGTATCTCAGCAAGCTTCCAAAAAATTTTGTTAGTTTCTCGGTAAAACTCCGGTTTCCTGTTCTCTGAAAGATACAGCTGTCCTTTAAGACAACAGAAATGTTTTGTGTTCTCCTGGACGTGAAATGTAGATTACCGGTCAGTGTCGAGGCTGCTCCTTCTATTGCTTTAGAAATGTGCTTCAGGAATCAAGGATTCCCAAGGGATATAATATTTTGACAGTGCTACTATCATATACAGAACCCAGTGGAAAACCAGGTAACTATACCAAGGCTTTTAATACTGATGTCAGAGCAATTACTATAAATACTAAAGCTGGAAACAAATTCAAATTGTAAAATCACCTACAGTAACCAGCTTTTGAAGGTACAATGTTTCCACTTAAAATTCTGGAAACCGATGCAGCATTTGTCTCTCCTTATAAAGGGAAAGTAGGCTGCAAGATCTCATTTAGAAACACATCATACAGAGAGAGAGGCTCATAAGACTGTGGACTTGACTATTCTTAAAAAAAAAATTGAGCTTCAAAGAAAAAACTGGAGGCGCTGGAGGAGAGCCAAAGAAGTCACACTCAGGTATGGAATATATTAGAAAAAAGCTGGATCTGTGATAGAACAAAAATTTATCCCTCTGGGCTTTTTAGTTTTGGCTTTTTTTTTTTTTTTTGTAAGCATATCACTGCTTTGCACTGATAAATCCTATCTTAACACAGTATAGAAATGTATTTCTATTTAACAGACCTTTAAGAATGTTTTCCAAATTTAGACAAGTAACTGAAAAAGCAACACAAGAGTTTACCTCTTAAATTTGCAGCAACTTCTTTTTCTTTATTATACCACCTAATCAGTTGGGATATTTCCTACCAAAATTTGACCAGCACCTTTTAGCATGTTGTCTCTTACATATTCATAAATACTGTTAAAAAAAGAAAAGTCCTTTACAAATAAAAATGACAATAAAAAGCATAGAATCAATTACATTTTAAATGTGACATCTGGAAGGATATAATAATAAACTATTTATGATATATCCAGAAGGACATAATAATAAATTCTCTCATTTTCATTCTTATTTAATGTTGCAATCTTTCCCTTTGCTCTAATAATGCTTACTTCATAAGCATTATTTGTTAAGAAATCTGTAATTTTAAGATAAGGTCACAAAATGTTGGGTTTTAAAAATAATAATTACTAAAATTATTATTAAAGGCCTAATTGCATAGAGGATTTAAGATAAAGTGTGTATCAATTTAAGTAGGACTTTGACACTTCAGTGTCCTTGTGGAGCTGTCACTACATTATTTAGGAACACAAGCACTAACAGAAGCTATGAGTCATTCAGGCTGTGATTCCACAGAGTATTTCTCTTGTTGGCAAAGCTGACTTAAGCAGTTCCTGCCATCACCTCTATATCTTACCAGCTCATTTGTTTTCTTCACCTTGCCCTTAGCCCTTCATTTTAATCCTTCATTTCTGCCAGTACAAAACTTTGTTGGGCCACCAGGTAAACCAGACGGGAGAAATGATCTATATTTTGAATAGCTATACAAACCCGGCTCACACATTTTGTTGGAGAGATTTCTAACTCAGAGTATGTCCCTCATCAGAATACCCAAGCATCCTACCAGACAGTGTGATATTAGGTTGCCCATAAGCAGGTTGGGATGAAGAACAGGAGAGAGCAGGGAACCGTTTATGTCAGCTTTACTTCCAAGAGAAACATTTGTAAAACTGTGATGTTAGATATTTAACTTCGGTGCAAATATCCATCCTCACAAGTCAGTGGTATCAAAACTGCCTTCCTAAATAATGTCTCTTTGGTGTGCTTAAGAAATGAGTATGACAACCTCACTGCAGCTCATAACCAGCTTCCAAACTACAAAATTCACTGCCTTAAGTGGGAATCTTGTTGGCAAGATCTACAGAAGGAAACTGTTAGAAGTAGTCCCACCAGCAGCAGGTTTGAACAACAGTGGCTGGATAACACGATGCAGTAGCAGGTACCTGAGGGTATCGAAGTTGAGATGAAATGGGTCACTCTCCAAGGACGTCCACCTCTTACTGAAGAAATTTCCTATGAACTTTGACCTCATAACTACTTCTAAGATAGTCAGTTAACTGTTCATGCCACAATCACCAGCTTCTCTCCAAAGCTCCTGTCAAGGAGCTTTCCTCTTGCTGGATCAGTAACTCAAGGTTCCAAATCTCACATGACGAGTTCAAGAAAGCTCAATTTCCACTTACATAATGTAATGAAGTAAACATTTCTACAAAGAAATGTAGATCTATTAATCTCCAAGTTTTCACTGACCACCAACCTACCCTCCAATTAAGTTTTCAAATTGAACATTTTCTTTAAAAACTGACCTCCGTAATTTTCTTAGTCTCTCGCTGCAGACTATTGCTTCACTTTTCTTTTCGCACACAACAGCTATGTTTTTAAACTAAATGCAGTCTCAAGGACAGTTGCATTTCTTTCAAAACTACTGTGTAGCTTGGTTCTACAGGAATAATGAGGAATATATGATTTGGGCTGCCAAAACAAGTGTTCATTTCTCAGATGCAAAGTCATAAATGTCTGCAGAAATGCCGAAATGCATCCTGACGCCAAGGATTATTACAGGTATTTTTAAAACAGCTGCTTACAGTTAGAGAAGGAATTTCCAGATCGTCTATATATCCTCAAAGATTTCCATAGTAGGAAGCAGCATTGAAAACACTGCTTTACTCCTTAATACAAAGATGTTCATAATACTACCAGACTATTTGAACACACTGTACTCTACAATCAAAATGTTTAAGAATTCTAAACTAATTTCTCTGTGAATATTTCTGGTACAAAATACCTTGTAACTAATACACTACCAAGTTAGAACGCATCACATAGTTCTTTGTTGCACACAGTAAAGGGAATTTAGAGGAAGCTCTATTACTTTTTTGGAATAGCAGGGGGAAAAGAATAAAAGGAGAAAAGGTTACTCTGAGTACTGCAGTAACTTACTGGTCCTTTAGCCAGTCGTTAACAAAAGGAATGGAAAAGAATTCTGTGAATGACTCATCTTTCCTCTTTGGATTATTGCTGATAACAAAAAAAAAAAAGAAGAAAACAACTCATTAATTTAAGTTGGAGCTATTCTATTTGCAAATTAATGCCTTTGAATCATTGAGCATAATTAATAGTAAAAGCCACAATTAACTTACTTGTATAACCACTCAGTTAGGAAATCACAGGCAATAAATTTGGTCCTTCTTCTCTAAAATAGAAGATAGGTTCAAATTATTTATTATCTTTGGATTAGTCACATGTTTTTACTACTGGAGAGGAACAGAAGCTAAATTGACTGCTTTTATTAAATAAAATATACAGTACATTACTCTGTCTACATTAATATTGCTACTGCCAACAGTCAGTGGCTCAGCCAAAATTTTAGAGATTTTGTGGAACGCTTTCAAGTCAAGTAAAAAATGAGTGAGAAAATTCTACATGTACTGCCTTGGTGTTTGCTGCAGGATAGCTATAACAAATACCTCTGAATGGTGTTCTTTCTAAGTGGTAATCTCATTGCAAAGAAATTAACAGAACTCATTTATAGAAATACGGTGTAAATTACTTGCATTTTGTTCAAAGTTCTATTATCATACTTAAAATACTTCATTGCTTCCAAGCCCCAGAAGGAACATTGATGGAATATTGTTTCCCCCTGCACGGAACCAGCTTGAAGGTGCTGTGAATACTTAGGATACACAGACAGCAGAGTATTGTATGGCTGCTCAGACAAAATTGTTGGGTAGTCCAGAAAGGAAGGCAGAAACAAGGCATACGTACATCCACAAACACAGAGACCATGGACATTACAGAGAATCGGTTAAAAAGTTCAAAATCTGGAGCTTCAATGCACAACATTTGCGCCCTTTGGTCCCGGTTCTAAGACTTCTTCACCACCAAAGAAAATGTTGTGAATGCTTTGCTGCATCCTTAGTGCCTCTTGCTGTCAGTACCTGTTTAGCTGGACAGCACTGCACACTGAAAAACGCTTCTGAACTCAACATTCAAAGCACGAATTTTGATCAATACCGAACTGATTAGGGCCTTCCTCTTCTAAGAGATTTCCCCTCCACATTCCATCTTCACAGATTAAATGTATAAATGAGTAAAGGTGCTAATTCTGCTTATCGCAAACCAGAGTAACCATGATGTGGGGAATATAACATAGACTTCTGGTCAGAGTAACCGAAGAGCTTGACTAGTATCTTCTGAAGCCCTCTTACATAGGCTGTGTTATGGATGTACGTGGCCAGGCAGTGAACACTAAAAGCCATTAAGCGCCTGCAGAACAAGACACTGAGTGTTTTATCAAAGTAGCAGCCATTTAGCTGGAAATCTAATGCATGACAAATTACTTTATTCTATGCATTATCCTCATGATCTGTGTTTCTCCCTGTGCTACAAGAATACAATGCAAAAAGGACTGGAGAATGTGAATAGAAGGGCAGAAAAAAGTGCTCTACATGGCATAATTCTTTCAGTTTGGGACGTTAGCACATGCCATAATTTGGGGGTCAGTGTATTACTTCAGGCACAGGTGAAGTGGAAGAGGAACATTATGTGAGGTGCTGACTGCACAGTGAAGAAAACGAAGTATTCATGTAGCCAGGGGATGACTAAATGTGCATTTAGAGCTGGACTGCACAGCATTCCCAGATGATACCCAGGAAAGCTTTTACTTTTCTAAGTGAATCTTACTCTTGGTAGACACACTGTCTGACTCCCTCAGAAAGAAATAGAACTTCTTTTAAAAAGGAGCAGAACAGAAAGAAAACATCCCAAAACAATTATCAGTGCTGAACCCCATGTGCCTTTATGGTCCCTTTCATGACAACAAGAGCTTTGGGGTTCATGTAGCGCTCCATTAGAGTGATGGGCTGCCAAGAAACACATCTCCTTCAGGAATTTTCACACTTGTCACGCTAATACCAGATACTGTTCTGAGAAGCCAAACACCTAAGCTTTAAGAGACCAACACCTTCACTGGAGAGCTTTCTGTGGGTCATTTTAAATGTTAAATGGACAATTTTTGACTTGAACAGAATCTGAAAACAAACAGCAGAGTCTGATTGTCTTTGCACAGCTATTCCCAATCGCAGTATGCAATTGGGTTCCATTACTTAGTGAATTGTTTCAGAGAATAAATTCTATACTTTGACAACAAAATTCAATTTAATCTAGCAGTTGTAATTTAATCTGTTTTAAGTAAATTGCTTTTCCTTTGCAACGGGAAAAAACAATCAGAACAGCGTTGTCAAAACAGTCATCAACAAAGGAATCAAATTCATCTTGCTTTATCCTTGCTAGATCCAGTGAACTTATCAGGGAGTAATTTGGTCAAACTGATTCTTTTTTTTACTTTGTTATTTTTTTGCCAGGAAACAGTTCACTTTGCTAGTGAATTAAATCATTAGTTGCACAGCAGTCAACGTTTATAGAAGGGAAAAAATGACATAAATTGACCTGCCTTTGACACATTCCTCCTATGCTACATGAATCAGGATAAACACAGGAAATATCTGCACAATGTGCATTGTTAACCTGCAGATGTGCTTATAAACTATACTCAGAATTCATTTTCCACTATTCAGTTTAAATATGATGTGCTTGGTAATAATAATGCAAAAATACTGGTGGTCAGGAGATGGCAAAGTCATTAGGAAACCTTCTTCCATTCACTTTCCTTGATCAATCATACTTTTAAATATAATATATTCCATTAGAGAGTTTGATACAGCATTGCTGTGATTGCTAACCAGAAAGAAAAGTCAGAGTTATGCTAGTAAAAACATTTAAACATTGTTAAGTTTTAATACTGAAAAATGAATGCATTAGTCAGTACTCATGAGAGAAAAGACTTAGAAAAATAGTGTTTTCCCTAGGGACATTTGACAGCAGATAGGACAAAGCACAGGAGAACTTATGGTAGGGAAAAAGAAATCAGAAAGGGAATACACTGGGCAACCTAATAGGTTTCTTTCATCTCTAATTTAAAAACAAAGCTTCTGCAGACTGTTCTCATATTTACATGAATCTGAAGTCTGCAAATATATCTAGCAGCTGGCGGTTCTTCTAGGTTTTTGCTTTTCAGACTCTTTATACGTACCACATAATGCAAGAGAGCCTATTTTAAATGAAATGTTTAAGTTGTTTCTATATCACCACCCAAATAAGATCTTGCAGATTTCTTTCCCGCACAAATATCTACTTTCACATTACTCTCTCCCTTTCCTGACTTTCCCATCTGATTCTACAATTCTTCCTTTCCAGACATGGATGCATCTTTTCTAATCTCTTCCTTGAATTCCTCTGTTTGTCCCATGATCCACTCTCCCTTGCCACAATTTAAATTGCTAAATAACTCTCCTATTTAATTTTTCATTCTCTTCTCATTCATCTTCCCTTCAAAACATGAAAACCTTTATTCTCTGTCATCAAAAAACCACTCTTCGTTCTCCCTCACAATTCCTTCTCTCTTCTCCCAGGCTCATTCAACTTTGACTGCAGTCAGTTTGATTTTTCCTCCCTTTCTTCCAGTGCTTCTTCCATTTATCTTCCACTGGTTTACTCTACAGAGCTGCCCTTTACAGGCTTTCATGACTCCTGTATAGCCAAAATTCAAACCCAATATTCTGTTCTCATCCTTCATGATTTCAATTAGTTTAATCACAATTAATCATGTTTCTCTTCTGTTCTTTCATGAATTCATGAATGTTTCTACTCTTTGTTCTGCTCTTATTTTTTGAAGCTATCTTCTAGCGTGTTTAACACAAGATCCATTCTCCCTGTCCCTAATTTTGTCTGGGTTTCTAAGGGCTCTGGTTTTGATCCTAAAAATCAGATCCACTTATTGCACTAACCATTTTAATACAAATCTAGTATTTTTTTTGCTCCAAATCCATATGGAGCAACAAATTTCTTCTGAAAAAAAAAAAGTATACTTAGAAATTACGTATTTAAGTCACATAAGGAAACGGAATGTCCAAGTGCAAGCACCTGGACAGAATGGAAAAGAACACAAATTCTCAGTTATATGGCAAGCACAAGGAGCTATTGTTTTACTAGTTATTGTTCAAAAGGAAGAAGAAATGATGTCACAGTGGAAAATGATCATCTGACATAACCTTGCTTTCCTAAACTTGGTTCCCCAATAGCAGGATATCACTTCATATAACAACAAAAATCCCTTAGTGTCTTTTCACAAAATGTGCTTATTTTTATGAAGGTTCTGTACTTGAGAATATACAATTGTTTTTATTAGTTTAGTATAAAGCAACACACAGACCTATACAAAATCCATTTTCAGAACAGGTACTTTCTAATCTAGATACTATTGAAGCTCTGCAAAATTTCTGTTTCTCAGATTAAAAATAGACAAAGTAACCTTAGATTTGTTCTGAGTTTGAAACTTAAATATTTCTAAGAATTCTCATATTTTTGTATTAAGTGCTGTTTTATTGCCCTCAGAAATATGTAACATCTGTCAAGGACTGTACTTGAAGCTGGCTGTAAGATGTGCCTTTTTCCTGTTAAAGGATACGTGCTTCCTTTAAAAAATGCCCAAACTAATCAATACAGATTTCATTAAAAGTGTGATCAATAATATATATATGCAATCTGTTCTTGGCTAGGTAATGTAAATGTGATGGCAGGAATGATGTACGGAGATGTCATGCCATAACGACATGTAAATGAAACATTTTCCTATTCCACCTGTATTAATCACAGATTATAAATACATAACATACATCTATAAATCAATCAGTTTACAGAAACACACAAATCTGGTGAAGACAGCAAAAACTGAAATAACTTACTGTTATGACATGTAGAGATTTGAATTTGAAATGCAAGTTTGGGGTGTCCACTCAAGCATGGTAAGCTTTCTGTATTTTTAGCTGTGCCAAGCACGTATAGGTCAGTGACAAATAGGACACCTGCCATTTTTACTAATTGTTCCACAATGTGTGTGATCATATATACACATGCTCATAAGAGGTGGATCAAGACCCAAGATGATTCATAACCCACTAGTAATACAAAGTCCTCCTCACTTTGCCACCATTTTAATCTGTAACTCCAAGAGCACAGACTGTATTCCTCAGACGTGTGTGATGTAGACAAAGGGAGATATTTTGTCATTTATATTAATTGCTCTTTATGCTATGAAGCTGCAAGTAAGAGGAGGCTCAGCTACAGGCATAAAAACATAGAGAAGTTTTACATTGGAAAGTGTAGATGCTAGGCAGAAAGTTGGAAAGAAATAGAAAAAAAAAATCACTTCTATGGTTGGAGAAGATAGCAGAAATGATGGAAGACCCCACAACTCCCAGTACCTAATCTATTGCTGTGAGTCAGGCTCTGGTGATACAATGAGCTTTGTTTTGCACCACGTCTAATGCTTTTTTAAGGATTCCCTATATACAGTTAGGAACATCTCCCTGGATATGTTTGTGCACACATACACTGAAAACAATTATATAAAAATATATCTAGCAAACTATGATCTTTAAAATATACAATTTTTATAAGCTCATTAATGCTGAATACCCTGCTTTCTAATTAAATAGAATTTACATAAAAAAGCAAAAATACAAAATGTACCTCTATTAGGATGCCAGACCAGCAAAAAGCATTTTAAAAAGCAAAAATACAAAATATACCTCTATTAGGATGCCAGACCAGCAAAAATAATTGAGTAATGACATAAAATTCAAGTTAGTTATGTCCCTCTCAAATAAGTGATGCATATTAATCTGAAAGGAAGCCTGTTTCTCTAAAAGACAACATTATTTTGGCTAGATACAACTGGATATTTAAAGAGGTTTCATTGTGAGCCAGAGATTGTCATAATGACCAGGTATGTGTAGTAAGTGATCTGTTCTGAACTACTGGACAAAATAACACTCAAGACCAGATTCAAAACAACTCATGATATGTTATTTCATATTATTGTGGTTGATTTTCTTGCAAAAGACCAAATAAAGAATACTGCCTGTGAAATAAAAGGCTTCCTGACTTCCTAACAGTAACTTCCTGACAATGATTTGAAGTAAAAACTAACCTCAAAACACTTTTCCTTCTTTGCTCGATGCAGAAGTTCAGCCATTCCGGGTAAGAGTACTGGAAATATGTAATACTCTAAGTATTCTCGAGGAGAACCTGCACAAAACAGTAAAGCATTCACTTACAGGTAAGCACTTAGATTTCACAAAAAGACAAACATTAGATATCATAAACTAGGTATTGGTCTTTTTATCAATACCATCACAGCTTGAACTGAGCAGAATCATTCGGTTCAGATACAGCCATGGATCTGTCTCTGCTTCTCTTCAGCCAAGACAACCTCAACTTGAGTAAATTCCAAACTAAAGGTGCATCAACACTGCAAACTACAGTGTACCTCACAGATGTCAGACTTAGTTTTAAATGACTAAACTCAGACACCAGAAGCCATTTAGCCACAGAAATGGAAAGCAATGTGAACTAATTTACCCTGACAGAAAGTAAATTAGCCTGCACTGAACTCAGTGCTGTTGCAGCTAGGCCACTTTTGGTATCTATCCTCATGTCCTTTACAATCTGCAGTAATAGGGTTGGTCATGAAACTGATTTTCTAGACAGAAGAAAAACCAAAGTTTATATTTCAGTGATGCTGTGATTTCTTTATCGTACTTACTTCCTGCTTGCCAGATCCTTCAGAAATTTGAACATGACTCCATATACCCAATTCTTCCACCTTAGGAGAGCCATCTGGGTTCAAGTGAGAGACTCCAGCTCTCCTTCCTTCTCAGCTTTTCTCCACATTTCCATCTTCCCTAATGGGACCTTTCACCATCAACTTATAAACTGGGTTAAGTGGGAGGAGTCTTCTAACCCTTCCAATGAAGGCACTGCGCAGGGAGGAACTCGGGTTCACCGGGCCAGAGGGAACAGGGAGCACAACCCTGAACGAAGCTGTAAGAGCACTTCCCTCAGAAAGGCGAGTCAAACACAACCTGTCAGGATTCTAGACAAGCAGCTGTCCTTGATTTAAAGCCAGAGTGCCTGCTGTTCAGCAAATATTCAGGTTCTGGTGTGGTCAGTAAAGATTAAGTCACAGAAGCGTTGTCTTCTGGCAACACATCTGAAACACTGAATTTATTCTCTGCTTTATGCCTTTAATTGGTTCATATATTGCCAGAAAATGTTCGGAATTGGAAGGACACTATATACATAAAAGCCAAGGGTAACACAGCTTCTGACTAGCAACAGGAATTCCTAATGAGCAAAAATGAATGTAAGAGAAGAAAAGACACAAGGGAGGGCTAGGACGCATAATAAAAATACATTGCTACTTGGTAAATTTTCTGAAATATAGAAATTGATAAAAATGGAAGAAACTTTAGAGCTTTCCATTCTAATTCGTAATCAGACAGGCAAAGACAATATTTTGAAAGCAGTTTTCAAACTCAATTGTCTATTTAGTCTATTGAACCTTGTTTGCATTATTAAATTAGAGGAAGAAAGCTTACCTTTTGCTGATTTAAGTGGCTAAATAAAAAGTCACTTATTCAGAAGAGAACAGAACTATGTTAACAGCTAGACAACGCTACTGATTTGTAACACACCATTTGAGCTTTGTTCCATTGACCAAGTGGCCAAGCTGGTTCCCTGTTTACAGACCAGGGGAGTAATCAAGCAAATTCCACTTAAGAAAAGGTGGTGTAGCTCTTAACACTTTCAATTCAACAAATGACAAACCCTTGCAAAATGCAAGAAAAATAATCACAGTAGGTTTCCATATAATATACTCCTACTTACATGTTTTTGGATCAGGTGGTTCTGGAAAGGGGGCTGCCTCGGCTATGGGAAGCGACTGTTGGACAACAGTATCTGCTGCAGGGGCTGAATAAAATTGTTCCATACGTAAGGGCTGCAATAGTCCTGCTTCCAAAGACACCTGCTCAAGATAAATGTAACCAATATCAATACGCCAGTCAGACTGTAAAAAAATACAGATGCTGATTCAACAGGAAAAATTATAAGGTCAGTTCAAAAAATATGGATTTATAATTTCTAATTTAAATATTATTTCAGTATTTTCAGAGTACTTTAAAAGAAAGAACCACACTTTAGAAAATTCTGCAGTTTCAAGAACGATAAAAGCATCCAAACCTAGCAGAAGGTATATGGCTGCTTTTAAGAGAATGTGATGAGGTATCACAATTTAAAAAATATTTTAGCCATTGTAAGAAATAGTAATTCTTTGAAAATTAAAATTGGCCACATTTTCTGAAGAAGTATTTTTCCACTAAGCAGCTTAAGTATTTCTTTCTGTATTGTTCAGAAGTCCAGACACTCACCTTTTAAAGAAAAGAAACTTTATTTCTAAACAAAGCACAAACAGACAAATTCAGAGCAGATGCAAATCCAAGTCTTAAGGTTCCCCATACAGAAACAGTTATGGATACCAGGAAAAAGATAGTCCACAATTTAAGATATGGTTTTTAGGAGTGTGGGAACTGTTACAGTGAGCCAGCAGAACACTCCTAACAGACACTGAGCTACACCTGCTACCGAAAGGCAGATACCTCCTGGTATCCCAAAGAATGCACTACCATTATAGTTTGCTGTGAAAATGTGTTCTGAAAACTATTGTCATCTGAACAGTTTCACTTTGAAATTCAGTTGGACTTATGAGCTACTGAAAAGCTGGCTTGTCCTTCTTAAGTTTTAATGTTTGCCAAAAAAAAAAAAATATCTTACTAGACTGAAGTTATTTGGTCAAAATTAGGCTTCAAACAACTTTGATCAGGTTTAATTCCATTAATTTCAATGGACACATCTAAGAGACCTATCACATATTTGAAATTGAGGCGTAACTCCCTCGCTGTGCTTGCTCCCCTCTCCTGCATATTTCAGTACTCGCATCTGCTTGCAACACCCCCAAAAGGAGATCCTTGCACACTTCAGAGTCCTGCCTACGGAGGAGACAGTCACAGCAAAAAGACAGCGAGATGTACAAACCAAACACAGCTGGTAATCTAATTTTAGCCTAGCACTACCCAAGTTGCTTTAAATAAAAGCAATGATTTAGAAGATTACATTTGTTGATTCACAGAAGCTGTTTGCAAAATGTAGTTTTGCTTTCAATTTATCAATGAGTCTATTCTGCGGGTACCTAATTTTCCCATTTAGTTATTTAAAATCGATTAAAATCAGTCCTATGCAGAATTTTTACTTGAACTATACTCACAGATCCACGTTCTGATTTGGGAACATCTGGAAATTGAGGCTGTTCTGCTTCATACTCTAAAAGTAAAAAGAAATATGATGTTTATTCAGAAGACTTTAAAAACATTTATTTTTTTCTAAACAGACATTACTTTCTAAAGGTACTTATTCTGGTTCAAAAAAATGAAAATTAGTATGCAACAAATACTTGTTTAACATGAAATCTAATGTTTTAAAACAAATGAGAACTCTGGAGCTTCTTCTCTTGGTTTTAAGTCAAGTTCAAGGTTCTCAGTGATGAAACAACTCTTCATTGGGAAAAAGATTTTTAACCATAATTTAAAATACTTTAATGTAAGTAAAATGCAGGTGCTTGCACAGAATTAACCATTGTTTTTACTAGTATATAACAGTGCTTTTCAACTTGAATTCTGCTATGAGCAATTAAATCCCCAATTCATTACTAATAATTATTGTCTCCACTTTCAAAAAAAACCAAAAAAACCCCACGAAAGCAGTGCATGAGGCACATAGATTACCGAGTGAATCTGGATAATCAAAATAAAGGAGGACAATGACCCTGATATTAAAAAAACTTACAGAAAATTCTTACAGCCAAACTCAGCAGGTTCACTATTCTAGTTAAGAGATTTACTGGCATCACTACTTCCATGTGTAGAACAGATGCCTCAGCTGAGTTGTATTAGAGTAAGCAACCTGATTCCTTTATTTAAAATGGCTGTTTTAATGCAAATTATCTACTTCAAGGCATTATAAGGCACGAACTGAGGAGAAACCCATTCAGACACCTCAGAACTGTGGTGTGGGGCTCTCAGCTTCCTGACTGTTCTCAGTGCTCTCAGATTTTAGGAAAGGACCAAGACCTTTGCCATTAGAAACAGACTCCAATAACAGAAGTTTTGTATTCACTGAACTCGCACTGTCACCTCTCTGCTTTCCCCCGGTTAACCCACCTCCTTACCGGGATCCAAAGCTGGACCCAGATAACTGCATGGTCAACCACAGGCCCTGACACTACTGACAGAAGCTGGACGCTTCTGGCGGCAGAAACAAAGGTACATTTCTGTCAGAAGATGACAACAACGAAAAGTAATGTAAAGCTCAGGGGCTCAGGCGCTTTCTGGCTCCCTCCCGGGGGTGAGCAGGGCGCTTTTTAGCACTTTTCTCCCGGCCGGCACAGCCAACGCCTCCGCAGGCCCGGCTGCGCTCCTGTCTCCACAGCACTGGGGGGGAACGGCGGGGCAGGATCCGGCAGCCAGGAGCGGCCTTGACGAGGCCGAGCGACCGAGGCGGCGAGGTGCGGCCCGGCCAGTCCCGCACCCCCGCGGGGAGAGAGACCCCCCACCCCGTCCCTAAGAAGGGCCGCGGGGAGCGGCTCCCACCTGCGCACACGCGCTCCCAGAGCCCGCCCGCCGCCATGCCGCCTCAGCCGCGTTGCCGCGGCAACCGCTCCGCCAGTCCCCGGCGCGGGGCGGGCGCGGGCCGCGTTCCCCTTCCGGGTCGGCGCGGGGCGGCGGGCGCTGCACGTGGGCGGCGGCAGGTAAGCGGCGGGGCCGGGTCGGAGCGGGCCGCCTCAGGCCGGTGCTGCCCGGCGTAGAGGGGCCGTGACGGGGCGCTCCCGTCTAACGGGGGAAGATGGAGGGGGGGAATGTGGGGTTGCCTTTCCCCTCCCCGCACCCCGACTCGCCGGGTGGGTGCCCCGAAATCGGGTTCGGTCGGTTGGCCCGGGGGGGCGGCCCCTCCGCAGGCCTGGGCGGCCCTGGGCCCGGCTGCCCCCCGCACAGGCCGGCAGCGAGGGTAGGAGGGGCCCTCAGATCTGCTGGTTGTTTGAACCCTGACATGGCTGCGGATACACGCACAGTGTGCCTCACCTGGGCTTTTTTAAAAGGATCTTAAGAGGGTGCCTTGCAAGAGGCAGGTAGAGAAATCCCGTGGATTGGTTATTGAGTAAGAGATGGGAAACCAAGTCGAAATAAACAGATTTCTCAGCAAAGGCAGAAAGTGTCACTGGGTCCCAAAGGCTTCTCTGCTGTAACTTGCTCCTAGGCTGAAATGTCCTGGGAAAGGATGTGGATAGCAAGGAGGAGAAACCACAAACAAGCAAATACAGGGTAATCATAGAATCATAGAATGGTTAGGGTTCAGGGTAATCATAGAATCGCAGAATCATAGAATGGTTAGGGTTGGAAGGGACGTCAGACATCATCTAGTTCCAACCCCCCTGCCCTGGGCAGGGACACCTCCCACTAGAGCAGGTTGCTCAAGGCCCCATCCAGCCTGGCCTTGAACACCTCCAGGGATGGGGCATCCACAACTTCCCTGGGCAACCTGTTCCAGTGTCTCACCACCCTCATAGTAAAAAGGTGCCTTCAAAGCGTCTTGTAATGCTAAGTAGGCAGTAAAGTGAAGGTCACTGTTAAATAAGTGAAAAGTCATACATACATGGAAACCCACCTCAACTATACTTACCGGTTTATATACATGTATATGCCTTGTCATTCAGGAAAGAGAGGGTAGATATTTCTGTCAAAATGTCATGCTTGGCAGCTGTCAAAAAGACAAATTGAAAGTTACAAACTAAGTAGGACAGCAATAAAGAATGAAACAAAAGAATCACCTCCTCACCGCTCCAGTAGACTGTCTTTTCAGGGCTGCCCTGCAGTTCTGGTTCCCTCCCACCACAAAAAGCAGACTCTGAAATGGGGAAAAGAGTGCCAGGGACAATGTGAGATATGGGATGGTTTCAGAATAAAGGAAGACCAAATAGACTAGGGCTTGCGTCATCTTGTTAAAGCAGTGCGCTAACATATCTTCATTTCATTTTTTAGAATGATAAAAAAGAAAAAGAGAAAAGAAGTTAATGTGGAACCTCTACAGGAAAAGAAAAAGGTGAAAAGTAGTAGGAGCCATATTGCCATTAAAATTGAGGAAGATGTTCAAACTGTCCTTAAAACTGAGGGTGACAACCAGCTTGAGACAAAAACAAAGGTAAGGAAAAAGGAAAATTTAATAGAAGATAACTGTATAGATCAATTAGAACTGAAGAAGAAGAAGAAGAAGAAAAACAAGAAAAAGAAAGTTGACTCTGAATTACTGGAAGAAGTACCTTCAGAAAGCTTTGTGAATGTAGGCGGCCATCTGGATTCAGAAGCTCAAGGAGAAATTAAAATTCTCAAAAAGAAGAAAAAAAAAGTTCAATGTCATTCCTACTTATCATTGGGGAATAATGAGAGTAGTGATGCAGAGCTTTCAAATCATCATACAGATGGTACAAAGGAAAATGAATATGCTTTTAAAAAAAGTAGAAAAAATACTGCTTTGAATTTAGAATTGGATGATGAAGTAACTGAGAAAAAAAAGGAAGTAACTAAGAAAAAAAAGAAGAAAAATAATTTTTCTTTTTCATTAGAGAATATCCAGGACAGTGAACATAAACAGTCAGAAAAAGTTCATAAAAAACCACACAAATACATTTCAGAAGAAAAAGCTTTTACTGGCGAAAACCATGGAACAGATATTATCCAGAATGATGGGGAGAATTACGTGAGAAGAAAGAAGAGGAAGAAAAAAAAAGATAAGTCCAACTCCTTTTTACCACTAGCAGATACTCAGGACAACACCTATGGAGTTCCTGACAGCCCCATTGCATTAAGTGACTTCAGCAAAAGGCAAAGAAAGAATTTCCAGGAAACCATATTGACAAATAGAGGGGAAGAGGACATGTCTGAGAACTCTGAAAGTATCAGAGAGACCAAGAAGAAGAAGAAGAGAAGCAAAGATGTTTCTTCCTTAACATGTGAAGATGACCAAGGCTACAGTCACAGGGCTCCTGATAAGCATCTCCCTGTAGAGCAAGAAGTTGAGTCTGAAGAAAAATTGCTTTCTGGAAAAAAATCCAGGAAGCATATCAAGGATAATAATGAAGTAATTGAGAAGAAAAAGAAAAAGAAGATTCAGAAAGAGGAGGAGGAAACAACATATACAAAAGTTTATTTAAGCAATGACAGTGCATCTAAAAGCCAAAAAATAACTCTACTAGAAAGCAGTAAAAAGAACAAAGAGAGTGAAATGAAGCGAGCTGAATGTGTCACTGGGGTTGTTGTAGATAGGGTATTATGCACCAGTAATCATTTGTTCTGTGACAAAAAAAGGAAAAAAAGAAAAAAAGAAGTACCACAGGACTCTGCTGAAGAACCAGGTTCAGAAGCAAATACAAAAAAGAAAAAGATCAAAAGAGAAGACCCGGGAAATAAGGCACTGGTAAGTTGTAAAGAAGAGTGTATCTTTGTGCCCTCCTGCTGAGGCATTGAAAGTTTCTAGGCAGGCAGTTTCCTGTTTTGCTGGCTGTTCTCCCTGTTCAGACCCATAGGTTACATTTTGGTTTTTGAGAAGCAGGATCAGCTGAGCTGTTGATTTCAGCATGTAGTAGTAGTGAAACGGGTAAGTATTTTTAATGCCTCCTGCTTCAGTCTTCCAGTGTTTCAGTTGTGAAAATGTAAAATGTGTAAATCACATATTAGAACAAACAGCAAGTACTGGCACAAAAAGAAAACTAGTATGTACAGTCAGATGCCCTTCTGTCCCTTTTTAAGGGGCAACAATTTAAGCAAAGGGGCAACACTCCTATAAAACAGGATTTTAATACTATGTCATTTAAGGTGAGCAGGTTGCAAACACTGGCAGCACGAGTGCATCTCATTGTGTTTGTTAGACTTTTCCTCAAGCTTTTGCTGCTGTTGCTGCTGAAATTGCATAGTGTTAGAAACAAGGGGCAAACTTAGCCAAAACCTGTTGTCTAACTTGGACAAAACTTTAGAGAAAATCCTAAGAATCACAAGTGTAGACTAGGCCATGAGCATAGATGTGTAAGTTCTGACAGAAAAATACTAGAGAACAACCTAAACACAAATTCTTAATTAAAAAAAAAAAAATCAGTGCAAGAAAATAGATAGATATGAGAGCTGTGTAAATTATAACTGAAGGTAACTGGAATTGTATCCAGGGTGACTGTTAGAGGAAATCCCATCCCAGAGCCTCGCAGTACTGCTGTTGCTGAAGTGAAGCAAACATGGAGAAGAACTGGTGAAAGATTTGAAATACAGAGGTTTCTTCTTTGATTATTTTTTTCCAAAAATTATACTATTAAGACCTGGTTTATTGCTTTAGCTTTTTTTTTTTTATTTTAATTTACTTCTTTTTTAAAATCTGATTAGTGTCATATTTTAAAGCTGTTTAAGTGCCTAAAGTTGGTACCTACGTGCCTAACCTCTGTTGTTGTGGTTGGGAATTAAGCTGCGAGAAGCTGAGAAATTCAAGAGGTATCTATCTGTATTTTTAGGTGCTTAAGCAACTTTGAAAAGAGTGCATTGCAGATCATTAGGAGCTTGTTATTTTTTTTTCGTAGCTAATGGGGAAACTACACTGCAGTTGTTTTTTTATCAAGAACTTGGAATGCTTGGCTTATTTAAAAGTCATGCACTAGTTAATGAAGCATCATTGAAGGTTTTTGTAAACTAGTGCTGGTGCTACCTGCCTCTCAAACACACTTCAGGGTGTCAGGAGCGTTGTAAGTGTTATGCACTCACATATGCAGTTTCTTCATGTTCTGTGGAAACCTGGCAGCTTTCTGGGGTCTAGTGCTAATAATTAAGTATAGATTTATATAAACAGGTTCTTCAGCCTTTGTGGAGACCCAGATACAGGTATTTTCCCCAAAGGTTTGTGTTGGGAGTATGTATGCGCATCAGTCATTAGGTGAGCAGATGCTTGGGGCTTTTTACTGAGGTTTCTCCTCTTGACCTTTCAAAGGACAAGCTGGTTTTGTTGCTGGGATATATTTTCTAATTAAATTGACATTGTCTTTTTGAGACTCTTAGACATTATTTGGATTCTTGCAGCTGCTCACATTCTGTGGAGACAAAATGAGCCTAACAACAAGAAGTAAACCTTCCTGAGGGGGGGGACCAATTACAATGGAAACCACAGCAAATGCTTCGCAAACAATTAAGGAGAAGGGCATAGGGTGATGCGTGTTTTGTTTCTCTTCCCTGTATTCAGCTCAGTCCTTTAATAATAAAAACTATTTCAGAGAAATTCTCCTGAAGATTGAAAAGCTTGGGTAAATCAGTCCTAGGGAAATATAGTTCCTGCCAGGCCAAAAGACACTGCCGTAATACATGGCTGATAACCTGGACTTCGTTTTACTGTGCCATTTTCTAGTCTCTAGTGTGTCACACACATGATGTATGCCTTGAAAAATCCTCTGTTGGGCTTCTGCAGCAAGCAAAAGAGTAAGTTTTAAAAGACAATGTGGAGCGATACCCACTTAATACCGTTTTCCCAACTGCATGCCATTGCAGTCAGCTTGGGCAGAGTGAGGAGGAGTGAGGACTCGGTTTACTTCTTTGCAGTTGTTTGCT